CTCCGTCTAACATACTTTGGACATGTTGTGAGGAGAGACCAGTCCTTGGAGAAGGACATCATGCTTGGGAGTGTGGAGGGGAAGGCCCTCTATGAGGTGGATTGATTCAGTGACTGGGATAATTGGGATGGGAGTGTCAGACAGTGCGATTGGTACAGGACAGAGCAGAGTTTAGGGCTGTTGTACATAGGGTCGCTATGAGTCGCAAGCGCCTCAACGGCACATAACAACAACAACAACTCTAGCCCATCCTCATTATTTCTGGCTTACTCAAGTCCATTGCAGCAATCAGTTTGTCAGGCTATGTGGCTGAGGGTCTTCTTTGTTTGTATATAGTATATATGTTTATTTTTCATAAATGGAAAACTATTCAGATGATAATATATATTACGATATACTAAAATACTAGGATAGGAGTCGTGTGTGTGCTTTATCTCTATAAATACCTTATAATTAAGATAATAAAATAATTTTGATTTCTCTATGTCACACAATTTCTTCTTACTTGGATCCACAGTCAACACCCTTGGTACCAGCAGTCATATCACATTGGAGATGTCTACTGTTAGGGACTTCTCCAAATGACTAAGGAGCAATCATGTAATTTTTTTTTCTTTTTTCTTTTTTTTTTTGTAATTTTTAAGACTAAGGTTCACTTAATTCAGGCCATAATCTTTTCAGTTACTTGCTATGCATCTGAAAGTTAGACAGTGAAAAGAATGACACAGGAAGAATTGATGCCTTTGAGTTATGGTGTTAAAGATATAAGGGCACTGACTATTCCACATACTGTCAAAAGAATAAATAGATACATTTTGGAACAGATGCAGCCAGATGCTCCTTGAAAACAAAGATAACAAAGTTTTGTCTCACATACTTTGGGCATTTAGTTAGGAGAGGGTTTTCCTTGGAAAAGGGACATAATACTTGAAGAGTGGAGGTTCATCGAAGGAGAGGAAGAACTTCAATAAGATGCATTGATAACAGTGACTGCAGTAGTGAAAAGTGTGTCAGAGGTAATGAAAATGGCACAGGATAGGACAGGGTTCAGATCCATTGTTCACTATGAGACATCGTGAACTTGATAGCATCTAACAACATGTTGTCAGACAAAAGATATTATACTTCCTAAATACAGTGTCAGAAACTTCAGGTAATGATTATAGCCTGAAATTTTAAGTAATGCGAAATAGAAAGCCACATCTACATTAAAAGAATCCGGTAAGCTATTTAGACATTGATTTCTTTTTAATGTACCATCTAAGATGCACTGTCTAATTAAAGGGTTAAATTTTTTACTAAGGTTCTTGTTTAAAAATTTCAACATTTAAAAGTATCTTCTAAAAAATATGGCATTATTTTTTTTACATTTTTCACTTTATAACATGTGAACCCAAAGCAGTTCAACATGCATTTTTAGTAGTATATTTTAACACTAATATGATCAGTACTAAAGAGAACCTGAAAAGCAAATTTATGAATAATTGTTCAATTAACATTTGGTTCACTCCTTTATTTTCTTCTTTATTAAATATTGTTATCATTATTGTGTGGCTTTGAGTTGGAACCAGCCCATAGTTGACCCTCCAGTGGGTTTTTGGAAGCATTTAATTGCAAAGGAGGAGATTGGCCATCCTTCTTCAATAGAGCAGTTGGTAGATTTGAACTGCATGCTTTTCAGAATTGCAGCGCAGACTCTTACCATTAGCCCACCTGTTTAGACACTATTAGTGATTGCTGCTTCTTTTTTTTTTAATGGATTCTGTGTACAAAATATTTGAGGACGCAGTCAACATACTAAAAAGAAATGGCTGATATTCAGCCTCATTACGTGGCAATATATGATCGAAATAGATATTAATAAAAGAAATCCAAGCTGTGCTGAAGACATTGGTGAAAATGTAGGTTCTTAGAATTGATGGATTGCCCTTTGAGATGTTTGACGTAAGAGTATGACACTGGATGTGCTCATTTGTCTGTGCCAAGAAGTTTAGAAGACAGGTATTTCACCAGTTGACTGGAAGAGATTAGTGCTTGTACCCATTCTAACGAAAGAGAAACAAAATGTGGACATGATCACACACTATTGTTACTATCAAAAGCAAGTGAAATGTTGATGAAGATAATTAGAAAGCAGTTACAGCACCATATCCTTAGGAAACTGCCAGAAAATTAAGCTGGAGTCAAAAGAGACCATCAAATGAGAGATGATAATATTATTCCTACCAGATATATAGATATTAACTGAAAGTAGAGAGTATTTTTAAAAAAAAAAAAAAGACATTGACCTGTGTTTTTATGACTAAGCAAGGCCTTTGTGTAGATCTCAACAAATTACGGATAAAATAGTTTGGAATAGAAATTCCAGAATACTTGTGTTCATTCAACGTCTATAATAAACCGAGAAATAGTTAGTTCAAACAGACTAAGGGAGTACTAATGGTTTAAAATCAAGAAAGATCTATCTCAGGGGCTTGCCCTTTCACCACTCTGACTCAGCTGGTATGCTGAGGCATTAAGTGGAGAAGCCGGATTGCCTGAAAAAGAATGAGGTATCAGGATTGGAGGAATGCTCATTAACTTCTTGAAAAATGTATATGGCATACAGTCTTGCTTCTGAAAGTAAAGGTGATTGGGAGTACTTGCAGGTGAAGATCTAAGACTATATAGCCTTACTGTAGATTATATCTCAACAGAAAGAAAGCATGAATCTTCTCAATTGGACCGCTAAACTACACAAAGAGAATATTGAAGTTATCAGTGATTTTATTTTACTTGTATCAGCAGTCAAGAAATAGAACAGTAAATGTGTTATGCAGATCTTCAGTAAAACTCCTTAAAGTGTTAAAAAGCAAAGTTTCTGGTCAACTAGTGGACTAAGTTGTTAATCACTTTATATACAAACATGCTAAACAGAGAATAAGAAGACTGAAGAATTGATGCCTTTTAGTAATGATGTTAGTGGAGAATATTCAATATACTGGAGATTGCCAGAATAAATTTATCCTTGAAGAATAGCCAGGCACTCTCAACTTCAGTGCCATCTTGTTCAAAATCACCAAACCATGCATGAGGGCCAAGTGGAGGGAAAAGGGAATGGGCAGACTGAAGTGTAAAAGGAGATGAGACAGAGGTCTAAGTAAGCATTAGCATGTGCACATGCAGATGCCACAGTGGCGGTTGTAGAGAATGCCACAGGCTGGGAATGCTGAAATTTAACTGCATACTCCTGTCTAGAACTTCTGACTCAAAGGATCAAAAACTTCCATTGCCATTTGATCATCATGAACACCTCTGAGAGGCCTACCTTCCTTCCTCCTTCAAAATCAGGTCTTTCTGATTTGTTGTCCTGGACCTATGATATTCTGGACTAACTCTGCTTAGTTGTGGTTGGATGTAATGAGCACAGTAAATTTCATCTCTTATGCTCTCCAGCTGAATATGCAATCAAATTTTCTTAAGAAAAGCCAGGTAATGCAAAATTATGAAATTGTGTCTTACATTCTTAGTATATGTTATCTGGAGAGATTAGTTCCTGGAATGAAAAAAAGGAAACTTTTGATGAGATGTATTGACACATTGATTGCCATAAGTGGTGTAAACTTAGCAGTGTTTGTGACAGTGGCACCCAACAAAATGTTTTATTATTGTGTTGTTACTTACTATTACGTGGAACCAACTTAAAGGCACCCAACAAAACAGTAGCTTTTAGTGTTGCTTGGGAAGCATGGTATAGAAATATATTACCTTTTCCCCCCCTTAAAGAATAATTAATAATCCTTTAGTTAGTACTGATAATACTAACCATCCGATAATGCTGCATATTTCATATTTCTGTAACAATTGTAAGATTTTTAAGGAATTGATGTGCTAATGAGGTGACCTTTGAAGTGAGCATGCTTACCAGTGAAGTATGAAACGTAGCAGAGACAGAGCATCACCATTTTCACATTACCAAGAAACATTTTACTAAAGTTGTTATGTACTGTGGAGTCTGAGCCGACTCATAGCTGACCCTCCAACGAATTTTCAGAGGCTATACATTATGTGAGAAAAGATAGGCTTGCTTTCTCCCATGGAATAGCTGGTAGATTAGAACTGCTGCCTTTGGGTTTCCAGTGCAGCTCCTTACCACTAGACCACTAGGAGGGAGGTAATGGTTAATGGATAGTAACCATTGCATTTAGAGAAACCTAGATTCATATCTAACTGTTTTAGTCACCTGAGCTACAATTTGCTTACCTGTAAAATTGGGGCTGTAATTTTTGTTGCTTGGATTAAATAAGGTGTTACATGTGAAATGACTAGATACAGAATAACAGAAACTTGATAGCCCACAAAGCCTAAAATATTTGCTATTTGGCCCTATACAGAAAAACTTTGCCAACTCCTCAGAAAAAGCAGTATTTTGGTTATCTTTGATAATGATTGGACAAACTTTTTTTTTAACTTTTTAAGTTCTGTTTATATTTTTAATACATATCTGAAGTTAGCATGGCAAGGTTTATATTTAGGGCTTGTTTGAAAGGTTACCATTATTAAGGAACCAATTTTTCACAATTTTGTAATCTCTTGAAGTGTCATCGTAAGAGTTTTAAGAAATACTTAGGACAATCTCTTTATTCCATATTATAGAGCTCGTCGGAAAAAAGGTTCTGCCAGAAGATTTGGTCTACAGAAACTTTGGGAATGGTGCTTAGGACTTATACAAATGAGTTCATTACCATGGAGAGTTGTAATTGGACGTCTTGGAAGAATTGGACATGGAGAATTAAAAGGTCAAATTGTGCTTTTATTATTTAGTACTAAAAGTTCTTTTTTCTTTAAGGTAAATTTGACATAAATTCCTACTGTTTAGTCTGCTTCTAAACATACAGATTTTATTGCAAATGTTACCAGTGTTTTGCTTTGTTTTCTTACCTTGAGAGGAATGACAAAGATGTAGGCCACAAATGGTATATTTCAAGTTTTAAAAGAACATTTTACTATTTTGCAATTTGAATATTTGTTTTTACTGATACTATTTTTTTTTCTCCCAGTTTTGGTTGGTTGTGTTTTGTTTGTTTTTTTTTTAACCACCCTATTCTATTTAGTTCATCCCTTCTTTAGTTGGTACTTACTAATTGAACACTAAAGTAATGAAACTGTTGAGTACCATTAATAATAAGAGATTTTTCAGCTTGGTGATAGCTCTTATTTGGAGGAAATACTTATTTTTAAAATCCTAAATACAGCTTTTGTGTCTTAATTTTGACTTATTTGGGGTGTTAACCAGTGCTGATTCTTTCTTTTTCTTTTTTAAATGACTGATACCCACAGATTGGAGCTGTTTGCTGAGTCGTCGAAACTTGCAGTCTCTAAGTAAAAGGCTCAAAGATATGTGTAGAATGTGTGGTATATCTGCTGCAGACTCTCCCAGTATTCTCAGTGCTTGCTTGGTAGCAATGGAACCCCAAGGCTCTTTTGTTATTATGCCAGGTTAGCTTGTATCATATTTAATTTTTCATTCACCTAAGTTTTTTAAGTACAGGTAGTCCTTGAGTTGTGGATGTCTTGACTTACGGACAACTCTTACTTGCTCTTTAATGCAAGGTTTCAAACAAGTTCTGTCATGGCTAATGATGGAAAACAGGAACAATCTGGCATTTTTATCATTTGAGTGATTCATCGTGGTAATTGGAATGGGGAAAATTGTGCATCAGATCCTCAGATGGAAGACTGCCGAAAGGCTTTCTTTCTGGTGCCTTTGGTGTGAAACTGGGTTATTGACAGAATTGGGAGCCACATATATACACAGTGGTGATGTCAGTTACCATCTTTGCACAGGATTCTGTTATCTTTTAGCTGGAATTGCCACCTTTGAAGCCTTGCTTTATTGTTACATAAATTTTTCATATTTTGATGTAATTTGATGAATTCCTTCCAAAAAAATTAATCACCTTCATGTTCACTTGCTGCACTTGCAGCCTTTAAATCACTTGAAAGTCATAGTGACTTTTCTTGTACCAAAGTAAGTTAAATGAGAATGTATGCACCCATTCTAACTGACTTACAAATTCCTCAGTAATTCCACAAGAATAAATTTCATTTATAAACTGGGGACTGCCTGTATATAAAACTCATTTTTCATTTATGAAAAGACAAAAATGCCTTTCATTGGGGGGGGGGGAGGAAAATGCAACAATGAATGAATAATCACGTTTTCTGTAAACTTCCATTAAAATCGCAATAACACAAAGTTTAAAAAATGCCTTTCATTCTCTTTTCAGATTCTGTATCAACCGGTTCTGTATTTGGAAGGAGCACCACTCTAAACATGCAGACATCTCAGCTAAATACCCCAGAAGATACATCCTGTACACATATACTTGTGTTTCCTACTTCTGCTTCTGTGCAAGTAGCTTCAGCTACTTATACCACTGAAAATTTAGACTTGGCTTTTAATCCCAACAATGGTAGGTGAATTGTTCCTAAAAGCTTTGTAACTATGAAAATAAGACTTATGGTGATTAATTGTATAAAACACAATGTATGGGAGTCATCTTTGAAACACAGTGTGAGTGAAGAAATGTGTGAAACAATGTATCCAAGTAAGGCTATGGTAGATCTCCACATCCTACTTCTTGAAACCTGTGAATTTACTTTTTATCCACAAATACTTTGCATCTATAATCAAGTTAAATATCCTGATATAAGTGGATTCTAGATATTTAACTTGATCATAAATGCAAAATCCTTTGTGGATAAAAAGTAAATCACAGGTTTCAGGAATTAGGATGTGGGTATCTCTTGGAGAAACCATTATAGGATACAGGAAGATTGGAACCCTGGTGGCAAGAACCTACACTACAGTACTGAAGGCACACAGTTCAAATTCACCAGCTATTCTGTAGGAGAAGGATGGGCAGTCTCCTCCCATGTGATTATCTGCCTCTGAAAACCCAATAGAGGGTCAGGTATGGATCGGTTCCAACTCAACCATACACAACAACAAAGGAAGATTTATCTAGGTGGACCCTATAAATAATAATATACATGCTTATTGTAAAAGGGAGGTAGAAAAAAATTTGGTCGCACATAGAAGAAGGTTATGCGGCAGAAATAAGGCGAAAAGAGAGAAGATACGAATCCAGTGACTTTGAAGATTAACCAAATAAATTGTCTTATGCAACCAAATGGTAATTTGTCTTAATGGTAGCAGAAAATTAGTATTATCATCGTTCTACTACTGTACAGATAACAGAATTGATGCTATGAATTAGCACATTGTTTACTCATTTTAGAAGACAACAGTTAAATATGAAATATAATCAAGTTTATGCATGTGCTATTGAGTTTGTAGTTCATTTGATATTTTAATTTCAACAGAAATACAAGGGCAGAGATGTAAATTTGCTAGAATATATAGATTGCATTTTAGTAGAAAAGAAAAATATTCTGTTGAGAGCTGATGACCTTGTGGATAAAGAGTTGCCAAAGATGGGCGGTAATCTCCTGTGCAGTTTACAACCGCTGTCCTCCTGCTGAGTCAGCTGTTTGTTGGTTCCTATTAGATGGCAGTGAATCAGGGATTAGCTACCTTAAGAAATGCCACATCTTTCATGTCATCACTTATGGATGTTAATTATTCTCTCCTTTTAATGAGTAAAGAATAAATTAATGAAGCATTTTATCTTAAGTTTTTATTTCCAACATACTGTATTTGTCATATTTTCCAGTTGCTGCTGTAGCAAATAATTCATATAAAATAAATTTATTCTCTTGGTATCTTTCTAAAAAAAAATACATTCTGAAGCTCTGAGTCTGACGTGCCAGCAAAGCCTAGTACCTATTGTCGGTTATATGGGAGGATCTCTTTCTTTGTTTTTACCAGTTTCTAGGGTCTATTTGCAATCTTTGGCTTTTGGCTGCTTCCTTTATCTTCCTATTAAATAGGCACTTTTACATTGGGCTCACTTGAATAATACAGTTAATCTCTCCATCTCAAAATCTTTAACTTGATAGTGTAATTAGGCTGACACTTAGTAAATGTTGGTTAAGTTGACTAATTTTGGCTAAAAAACATTAGTGTATTTTAACCTTGTATTTTAAATGAGACATGGAAAATGGAGTATTTAATATTTTTTTTTCTTTGCTTTGTATAGATGGAGCAGATGGAATGGGTATCTTTGATTTGTTAGACACAGGAGATGATCTTGACCCTGATATTATTAATATCCTTCCTGCATCTCCAACTGGGTCTCCTGTACATTCTCCAGGATCTCATTACCCACATGGAAGTGATACTGGCAAGGTAATAAGTCTGTTCCTAAGGTTCCATTTATCTAAATGTCATTGACTGACTAATAATGGATTGATAATGTAGTAGAACTCTTTCCTTAGAAATTAGCACAAAGTGAAATCAACAGCACATTCATGCATTTCTGTCTCATAGACGTCAATATCTGGAATTATGCTTTAATAAAAATGTTCTAAGATGATATTTTTTCTCATTTTATTTTCTTAACTGAACATTAGTCCTTGTTATTTAGCTTTTTTCTCACTTCACTTCTACTCATCTGTAGAATTGCAGTTATCTTTGAAAATCAGCATATGATTCTTAAGACCTACATTTATATCAAGGATTTGACAGAGAATGTAGTTGGAATACTCATTCTTTTAAGAACTTGTATAGCACAGGACACCTACCTTTTTATACAATTTAGAAAGTGACTGGTCTTGTTTCAAATGTTTCAAGTCAGAACTAATTAAGCTTTCTTTTTTTAAAAAAAAAATTAATTTCATTATTTTTTGTGCGTACCGTGAAATCAGATCTGACTGGTACAGGAGGAGATTGTTCCTCCTTCTCCAGTAGAGCATCTGGTGGTTCGAACCGTGCACCTCTGAGATTGCAGTGCAACTTCTTGCCACTAGGCCACCAGAGCTCGCCTAATTAAGCTTTCTTAAATAACATCTCTTTATTTGGGAAAACCATATATAGTGTATATTTGTCTACTTATAGTATCCTAGAGGTCAGTTTATTTAAATATTACATTGTTGCTATATCATAATGACAGGAGAAAGATAGGCAAGCACCTCTCTTGTATGTGATTTACAACCTCTGAAAACCCAGTGGAATGTCAGCTATGATTTGGTTCCAAGTTTATGGAAATGGGTTTGAGTTTTATTACATCATAATGACAAATTATGGAGAGGTCCCTGACAGCCTACTTTACCTGAGTGTGTCAAAGATGATGAGGATGGCAGAGGATAGGACAGGGTTTTTATATGACTTGACAGCACCTAACAATGACAAATTTAGAATCTGTCACTTTTTTTTTCTGAACGATTTTTCCCCCCATTAATTTTAATGAACATTTATAGAGATTTTGGATTTCCATACATTTATTGTTGTATTTTTCTCCCTGCCCACCTCTCCTCCCAGTTCGCTCTTCTCTTTGAAAAGTAAAAGAAAAATTATTTCATTGGTATAGAATCCCACCCTGAGTACACGCCACTGTGCAACCTTCGTTCTGGACTTTTGTCATAACCATAATATCCAGTTACATGTCGCTTTCAAACAGTTCTCTCTCTTTTCAATACAGTACTCTCCTTTTTCAATACAGTATACATAATTTATCAAGTTTTCTCAGTCTCATTCCAACCCTGATGTCAGCCTCATTCTACAATAGTTGCACCATGCAGCACCTATCCTTTTGTGACTGAGATCGTTCACTCAGCATTATGTCCTCCAAGGTCACCCATTTTGAATAATACTGCATGAGTTCCTTGTTTTCAATGCAGCATAGTATTCCGTTGTGTAAATATACCACAGCTTCTCTGTCCATTTGTTTGTTGATGGACACTTGGGTTGTTTCCAACTCTTTGCTTTTGTGAACAAAACCACAGTAAACATAGGAGTGCATATCTGCCTGGGTGGCCGTTATGGTTTCTTTAGGGTATATTCCCAGTAGTGGAATTGCTGGGTCAAATGGTATTACTGCAACTTTTAAATGGTATATCTCCAACTTTTTGAGAAAGCCCATACAGCCTTCCATAGTGGCTGCACCATTTTGCACTCCCACCAACCGTGAATAAGGGTTCCAGTTTCTCCACAACCTTGCCAGCATTTGTTGTTTGCGGCTCTGTTAAATTTTGCTATTCTTACTGGGATGAGATGATATCTCATAGTTGTTGTCATTTGCATCTCTCTTAGAGCTAGGGATTTTGAACATTTCTTCATGTATTTGTTAGCCATTTGAATGTCTTCTTTGGTGAAGTGTCTGTTCATATCCTGTACCCATTTTTCAGTTGTGTTATTTGCCTTCATCTTGTTGTGGTACTCAAGTATTTTATAAATCCTAGCTATAAGTCCCGTGCCTGACATGTCATTGCCAAATATTTTTTTCCCATTCTGTGGCTTCCCTTTTTACTCTGTTGGAGAAGTTTTTGGATGTGCATAGGGATTTGATTCTTAGAAGGTTTCATTCATCTATTTTATCCTTTCCTGGGTGTAGATAGAATCTGTCATAGAATCTGTCATTTGTCTAGTCTTGTCCTGAATTCATTCTTCCTTTATTAACTCATATAAAACCACATTTAATGAAATGCACCAAGAACTCCACTATTCAATCAGTAAGTATAGTTAGCTTTTTAATAATACATTTTTGCCATAGCATAATTAATTATGTTAAAAATGTTGGACATATGAACTTTATTTGTTGTTGTAATAAAGCTGAAAAAAAAACATTTCCATAAATGCTTTTTAAAAAAATTTATTTTCTTCAAATAATCAACAAGACTTATAATGACTATACCAAGACGAATATCATTTAATAATTGTCATGTTTATTTCATGCTTGCCAAGAAATCATTAATTGTATTTTACAGATAGTGTTACAGAAACAGTGCTAAAGTGAATCCATCTTTTGGGTTGGGGTGACATACATTTGGTCACAGATTATTAGAATAGAAACTATTAGGAAATATTACACTTTCCTTTGTATATGTTTTTCTGTTAGCTGTGTAGGTTTACACACATACACACACACACGTGCATTTGGCATATTAATGCTGACTTGCTAAGCAGTTGGCATACTCCTTTCCTCATGAAACTCTTGAATTCTGCTAATGCTGTTACTAGTCGTGATACTCTTAAGTACACAGGCAAGTTTTAAATATTTAGATTTTTTAAGTTGGAAGGCTCATTGCCATTAGCTATTCAGTAACAGTATCTGATGCCTGGGAATATCAAATGAACTAACACACATTAAATTTTGTCTTTTAAAGGGCCAAGGTACTGATCGACTTCTTTCAACAGAATCTCATGATGAAGTAACTAATATTCTTCAGCAACCATTGGCCCTTGGTTACTTTGTATCAACTGCCAAAGCGGGTCCATTACCTGACTGGTTCTGGTCAGCATGTCCTCAAGCACAATATCAGTGTCCCCTTTTTCTTAAGGTATTGACATTTCTATGCCAATTGCAAGATAATGCTAACTGACAGCTTGAAGTCCTGGGAATTATTGTAGTCCTTTTTTGATGAAAGAAGTAGCTTTTGTCTAAATTATTAGAAGTATTGGCACATACCACTGTAGACAAGATCTGAGAATTACTTAATTAGCAATTTTTTCATTTATGTTAAATTTGATTGAACTGTATTTAATTATTAAGAAAATTCCTGGGACACTTGCTCTTAGCATTTTTAACATTGTATACAAATTTCAAAGCTGGGAAAAATCTTATAGTAACCTTTAGTATACTCTTACTTTGTAAATAAGCTTTGACATTCAGAAAAAGTCATCTTCAGAAGTCATAAATTTGCAGTAACTCAAGGCTAAAAGCTAAAACTTCCTATGCATATAACGTTATTTTCTAATCCAAGTAGTAGTAGTAGTAGTATGTTACTCTTTGAATTATTTCACACTGCACTCCTATAATGCGTCCTCATTTTGGAGGTTAAAGGAATCGTAAATACTTTTTGAACTGATTTTATGTTTCATTTACTATTGCCTTAAAAAAAACTAGGTTTATAGAAATTGTATTAAAACTGTTGTCAAATAGAGATACTTTCAGATGCAAAGTGATTAATAAAAACTAATTCATTGTAGGTAATATAACAGAGGCTGAGACAAATAAACTAGAAAATTAAGTAATAAATATGTAAAATTTCTGTTTAGCTCCAAAATTAGAGATTCCTGTCTAATTCACTTTTCCTTATATAAAGTTATCAGAGGTTGACTGTGTTTACTTGCTAATTGATTTTAACATGTAGAATAGAAATTGAATAGTATGCTTTTGTTTCCTAGTTTTATTTTTTTTCTAGATGCTTAAACCTAGAAGCTTGTAGCTGTCCTTTTGCTTGTTCCTATTAAAGTTGGGGAACCTTCAGACCACATCCCATTGAGTCAGTTTATACTTGAGATTATAATTTTAGAGCATGTCAGCCAAAGTAATAGTTTTCATCATATGATCTTCCCCTTTCAGTGTGCAGTGTTCTATATAGATTTTATTATAAGAACCCATACTCAAAGGTTTCTATAGAGTATTAGTCTTCAGAGTCTCCACAAAACAAAGGGTTCTTTGGTCTTCTAGGAGGTGCTGCACAGGCTACCTGCCCTTTGTTGTTAAAGGTTATGGAAATAATAGTAATTAAGACGTTTACTACGCATTTTCCAAAATGAATACACAAGAAAAGAATTGTGTAGCCACCTATTAATAGTTCATGACATTAGTGTTTCAGGGAACATTTTTATTAGGAAACACTACTTTACAAAAAGTCTGAAGAACTATCCAGATTCTTTTTTACTCAATATTTATTTGCAGAGAGGATAGTGTAAAGTGGGCATTCACCCTCAGATACAGTGTAACAAGATTAGGACTTCTGGTTCTGAATTACCAGGTAAGGCATAACTTACCATAACTTTGTTCACCTTTTTTTCCATACATTCCATTTTAGTTTATACCATAGGCAATAAAACCACCTAGTGTGTTTTTCTGTGTTGGAAAATAGTGGGTCATTGCCTAATTGATTAAAAATCTTTTTATCTTAGGAATTAGAGCACGAGTATTTATTATATTCATCAGTTTGCAGACAGTTCAGACATATGTATTTTGTTTATATTCTAGAATTATGACACTGGAGTGAATACATATATTACAGTTGTAGAGGAGAGAGTACCTGAATATAAATATAAAATGGAATTTTTACAGTTATATATAGTATCTTTTTCAAAGTTTCAGTAGTGAACACTAGCACTGTCTTATAAGCACTATTTTATAGATTAGATTATAAACAAAATTATTTATTTCATCAAAATGTAAAGGACAAAACCACATTCTTTCCCCCCCACTATTCATCACCATACCTATACAGGTGTGATAGTTGTTACTGAGCCTCCATTATGAAAAGAGTGAACAAAGGAGGGCAGCTGCACACTGTTACTACTTAAAGGGCACACAGATCAACCAAAGGTAGCTTTCTTAAAGGTTTACAGTGTCATAAGTAAAGTATTTTGCACATACTTTTTCCTGCAACTTCTTTAGTAGTAGACATAGGTATGTCTGCATAGCTTAAATGTAACTTTAGGGCAAAGTATGTGAGGTCTTATCAGTTTAGGCCTTCCTTGAACACATGTAAGTAAGTTAGACATAATCAATTGGGAATTTTTTTTTCTTTTTTAGACTTGTTAAATGGTCTTTAAACAATAAGCCTAAGAAAAAGAACATCTTATATATCTAATTTTAAAGTAAAAATTAATTAAGCAAGGCGAACAAGTATCTTTATAGTGGCTTTCATTCATTACATAGGACTAAAATGTGTTTCATTAAGGAACATATATTGGGAGAATAAGGTAAAACCAACGAACGTATTCTCTTTCCATTTGATTAACTGACTTTCTGTTAATTTTTAGGCCTCTTTGCACCTCCACGTGCCTTCAGTGCAATCTGACGAGCTGCTTCACAGTAAACACTCCCATCCACTTGACTCAAATCAAACTTCAGAT